TTCGGGCCAAGGCATCATCTGAGTTAACTACTGTTGTCACATATTTAATCAATAATTGGAATAATAATATTTCTGTCACAAATATTTCATTAACTTATCCTCTCTCAAGGCAACATTAATGTGTTCTAAAAAGTTTGGCTTAATTAATTTTATATCCTCATAGACAAGGCAAAAACTAATTTCCAATAATTAATTAATTTTTCTCTCGACATAACGAATTAATTTAACAATAAAAATAATTCTAGAACAATTATTCCAACTATTAAATAAACATACAGAGTATATGCCCAAATTTAGCCAAGACCCTAATCTGGGCCCTAACCCATACTAGATATCAACAGTGCATAAAAGAAACGAACATTTTATTAAAATTGCAAGTATTTAAACTTACAATAGAGAGCAGAGTTGGAGCCACTTTGGGACAACCGGAACAAAACTAAACTAAAATATTAAAATTTAACTGAGAACAGAGCGGAGAATGGGGTTCCGGGCCTTAAAGATCCGGAAGAAGGCTTGATTAGAATGAAGGGGCGAAGCCCTCCTTTTATAGGAGAAATTTTCACTCCAGGCCTCCGACAGGCGTGGGCCTGAGGTGCAGGCGCGCGCCTGGAGTAGTATTGCGTATGGCTGCGCAGGTTTGGCTGATTTGCACGGCGATTCTTCTTTCGTCCCTTACTCCCTTTTTGTTAATTTTTTCTTTCTTTGTTTGAATGATTGAAATTGTGGATTTTATGGTGGCTGCAAAATGTGACGTGCCACCTTGCTGCTGCTGCTACAGTTGGCCGGCCAGCCAGGTCGCGCCATGTGGCAGCACCTGGTTGGCCGGATTTTGATCTGGTCCGAACATATTTTCTAAAAATACTGTCTTGCTCAAAATTTTATTCTGAACAACTTTTCCTTCTGCGCCGACTTCAAATTTCGAACCAATTTGGGTCAAACGAATTAATTTTGAATTGAATCAACATTTTTTACTTTTTCTTTCCAAACAATTTCTTTTTGGTGCTTTTTCAATCCGTTTGACCTCAAATCTTTCGACGGGGCGCATCACCACATTTGAATGCACATTTTGTTAGAATAATAGACCAACGCTAGAGGGGGGGTGAATAGCGTTTGATCGGAGAAATCGCAGGAATTAAAAATTAAACGAGAAGTAAAGAGAAGAGTAAAAGGCGCACCGAAATTTACCCTGGTTCACCACAACTTGTGGCTAATCCAGCCTCCCGAGAGACTCTCTCGAGCTACACTACTATCTCGTTAAGCTTGCGGGTGCTTAACAAACCGTTACAACTTGAGAGTTCGAGTCACACGAACCTCAACGAATCCTTCAAAGGAAACAGACCTTCCTTTGAATCAACGAGAGAAATACTTTCTCTCAACGTGTCTAAGAACACAAGTACACTCAAGAACGAGACTCTCTTGTAGAGTAGATTATGAGTAAACTAAGTACGCTCAAGAACAACTCAACCTTCACACACAAATGGCTCTAGAAAGCTATGGAAAATTATGATATTTGAATGCAATGAGAGTATGGATGTTGTAAAGTGAATTGATGA